GGTAAACATAATTCAGCATGTCACTGAGCTAGCAAATGACTTGTTCCCCGTGAATGTTTCTCTCGCTTAGGTGTGCAAAAAAAATTCTATATTATAATTTGAGATAATAAACGGTCCACGATACTGCGTCGTCATCGTCGTCGCGGTGACCTGCCGATTGTCCTTTTTACTGCCGATAAAAAACAGTTCTTTTATCGCACTGTAGATTCCTCCCCCCCACCACCGATCATAGATTTATTTCTCTCTTACGTTTTTTTTTTGTTTCCGGTTTTTCTTTTACTCCGTCATAAAAAAATACGACTTCCATGTGCTGCAACGCATATGACGTTTATATATATACAGGAAAATCGATACAAACACATTTGCCTTGCTTCCCCCTCAATCTGCCTTAACGAAAAATCTTCGGTGTTTATACTCCGCCACCGCCACCGCTATACGAAAACTATAATATTACAGAAATTTTACACTTTTTAACAACGAATTTATACTTTGATCATTACATGCCAAATATAGTATATTATCTGGTGGTTATGTTTAGGTCAGGTTAGGTTAGGATCCGTAACCGTACGTGGAAAATATTTACATCATCGTGTAAATTCGAAAGGGATCCCGGCTGACCTAAATAATTTGAATATCGTTTGATGTTTTGTAACTGGATAAATATTACTTAGGTGTAGTATAATATGATGTAATCCGGTATAGACGTGATGATGGTTAAAAGAAACGGAGCTTATTCAAATTGCATATACATTTAACTATGTATAATTGCATTTGCGGTTTTTATGAAGATATTTTAACGTACTTACTGCATATTTAGTTATAAGATCTGAATCGTTTGGTCGTTAAAACGTAATAAAAAAAAAAAAAAACCATCGAGACTTAATGGGAGGGGGGACCCTAAGATTATTCAGTTTATTCGCCGGTAACACAAAATATTTTATTCCCTAATAATCCTCACACTATTTATTCCAAGCCTACGTTGTATTAAAAAATCGACAATATTCCAGAAAAAAAGATTAAGTTAGGTACACGAGAAAATTAATTATTTTTACCTATTGTAGTATACATTTAAAATAAAAAACACACGAGCAGCAAACCTTATCTTTAAAGTCAAACGTCCTACGCTCAGTACCTAAAAAGAAAATGGAAAAAAACAGAAATCATATTTATTAGATAATTCGTTAACAAACAGAAAAAAATAACTCGCATTATATCAAAACGCTCAGTTCAGAAACTAAAAAAAAAAAAAAAACCGATATTTCACGCTTTTAACCTAACCGTAAACACCGAGTATATCGGGAATGGGGGGGGGGAACTTACTAAATCAGACTATATTAATTGACGTATGAATATATTCATGTATTTTAATTTATCTGAATCTCACAGATTTGATTTGATTGCTGCTTAAATTATCAAAAATATAATAGTAAAATATGTTAACAAAGTTAATACTTTCTGAGTTAATGAGTGCATTGTCGACAGGATTGATCACCCTGAAGTGTACATAATATTATTTTACTACTACTGCGGATTGTTGTAGGCAATATATGCACAATGTTGTCCTATGCATACGTAAATTTAAATACAATCATAGTATAATACATTGTGTTCTAATAGTAATAGTCATATTAATAGTTAATTTATTATTTATTCATTTATTTTATATTGTTATTGTTCAATAACACGCATATGGCCATACTTTTGGGCGCAGTGGTTCGTTCAATATCTTGAATATGGACATGTTTATATGTATAAATCATGCCGTTAATTGCGGTAAGATAGTCTTGCGATTCTTTTAGACAGTCCGATTTTACGCAAATAACTGTTGGAGTTGATCCCATTAATCGCCGAAGAAAAATGTACGGAGAGTTCCATTGATCCATGGATTATTTTTTGATTTCAGAAAGTCTCCAACGAGATTATTCGATACCAACTAAACCCGTGACGATAGTACGAGTGAAGATTTATTTATTTTTTCTGTGGACAATTTGTGTACCGTCAATTTTGCTCCATTTTTAATAATAGCACTTATTCTGAAAAGAAATCTGATCGGCGTGTTACTTTAGGGAGAGAATTTTTCGATTCTCTTATGAGGTTTCTCAATAAATGGGAAATACATGGAAGAAATCGGAAAATATGTGCAATATTAAACAAATATTATTAAAGAAAATTTGTAATGTAATTATTTTACCATAATATGACATATATATATATATTGTTGACAAAGCGACACTATCAACCGAACTTCGTTCAGAATCGTTTTTTTGTTAGCGACAGTTAATCGCTGCTTACAGATGAACATTAAATTCCCGACTATATCCTACCTTATCAACTTCTCACCAGCAACAGTGGCTGCACCCGTTTCTATTATCCTAGAACAGTTTTTTATCATGAATAATTATGATTCCCAAACAATATAGGTAGGACGACGAGACAAGCAAAACTTGTTTATATTTTTTAGGCATGTACATAATATAATCTACCAATGGTATCTTCTTTATTTAAAGCATTTCGTGACATATTCAACGATTCATCCCTAGGTACTTTTTTAGTTTTTTTTCCAGATAACACTTTTTAATAAAAAGGCTCCAAATCGTTAGAAACACGCTTTTAAAAATACAGATACAAGTAGTTAGTATTTACTTATTTACTTATTAAGTTAGTATTAGTACTTTACCTAGAAGTTGATACTTTAGTTAAATAAAATATCTAGATTTCCAACAGCTTTTTTACAAAACTAAAAAAGAACTTAAAACTAATTATGTTACTTGTATTGATTTTTGGTTTACCTTGACTACGAAATAAACATCCACGATTTACACTTTTATTAAAAGTTCCTTTTAAAAATTAATTCGTTCCCGTTCCTCGTTCATAAAAGGAACTCGTTCCCGTTTCTCGTTACTTAAAAAAGGGAATTAGTTCCTTCAAGGGTTCTTTATTTTTTATGAATATGCACGATAAACATTCCTAAGAAAAAGATACCGAGGACGGGTGCAGCTACTGTTGTAGGTGAGAAGTTGGAAAGATAGGATAATTCAAATTGTAAGTTATTCTTACTTCTTATATTCTATCTGTTTAAAGTCCTAAAAAATAAAATCAAATTTATTTGCTAGTTCCTACCTAAAAAATCAAACATCAAAAAAAAAAAACATATAACTTGAAAAAAAAAATTCATCATCAATTTACTCAAAATTCAAAAAAAATATTTCATTAATTATAAAAAAAAAAAAAAATATTACACTGATATTTTGTTTTGTTTAAGAAGTAATAATTTTTGAAACAAATCATCAGTTAACTTGTGTATTTTTACAGTCATACCATGAAGTCATGAAGTATGCATTGAACAATACTATCACTAAAATAACGTGTGTTTCATTTTTCTTTTTCCTATGAAAGAAATTAATTCCTTCTAACATTGATATATTTATACAATTAAGGTTTTAAATTTAAATTTTTTTTTTTTTTTTTTATTATTGCGCTTTTTGCATTAAACCAATATTACATACAACAAAATATAAATTACTTATCAAACATTAAAATTATTTCACAAAAGCGTGTAGGTGATAGTGAGTAACAAAAAATAATTTAAATTTAGTAAAATTTCAATAATACGTGACATATGAGGTTTTTTTCTAAACAGGTGACTCACTCTCAGCCCTGAAAGAATAGTACACCCTATGTATTTTATCATACACAGCTAAAGTGATTTGGTATCTACTAAGTTTTTTGATTAAGGCAGGACAAGCGGATGGGTGGTACAATAAAATGTTTACATCTCAACAATTTCAAATTCGTCACGCCACTGTACATTCACGAGCTATAAGTTTAAAAAAGAATATAATTGGATTTTGTGTTTTATTTTATGCAGATTTGATAATTTATATAAGTTGTCTCTTGTTTTGTCTGCACTGGTGAACGACATATTTCCCTAATGCAATTACTTAGCTCTGGAAATATGTGAAAGAGAAGAAGAGATAGAGCTGTGGTCATTTTGGAGCGTTTTTCAATACGTAGATTTAAAAGTATACTCACTATACCACTGGTTATGCCTATAATATTATATAATAATTATAATTATTATTATTATTATTATTATATTATTATAATTTAGTCATTAGGTATAATTATAATTATGAACCTAGAAATAATTTATTCTTCGATTCCCGTTATAGCGTGTTTCTATTGATGATGCGGCCAGTGGAAAACTAAGCACCCCGAGGCTCCTTTTTGGAAAATTATCTTTATCCTTAACTCCTCCCTTTTATGAATCATTCCTTCATACACCACCGATATAAACGTAGGACTTTTAAACATTAAATTTCACGAAATATAACGAATATTGTATTGAGTACCTATATAAATTAATATGGCATGTTATATTATTACATTATTATTAGGTACCTATAGCTTGTGAAAATCAAACGATCGAAAATGTATTGGATTTTTTGGCTGAAACTATAATACAGACATTGTGTGTCAAATTTCGGCATGGCTTATTAATTTTAAAATGATGTTTATCAAACACTGTTTAATTAATTACTATAGCTGGGGTAACGAATATCATCGTGAGAGTAGTGATTATAATTTCAAGGTTTAACTTGTCAATTTACATCTGGATGTTCGCTCATCACTACTCTGCAGCCGATATTGTCTATTATTATTACTGAACAGATAATTCTGGAGATAATAATAATTCATTATAATTTACAGCATAAAAACGTTTTTTTTTTTTAATATGTAAACTACAACGTAATTTTTTTTGTCAGTTTTTTTTTAAAATATTTAAATTATAAAACAAACGATTAGATTATCTATTCACCTGACAGCACATTAAATTGGTAGGTATAGGTACTGCAGCAGTCTATTTCGAGTTTTTTTCTCGAGTCGCTCCACAAAAATAAATCGTTTAGAGAGTTGAATAAGAATAATAATACTTTTTTTTTCTCACATAAAAATCACAAGTATACTTTTTTTTTTAAATTATACATATCTCAACTTAAATGCAATAGAAATAAATATACTCAAAGTAGATATTTTAATAAATATTATTTACAACATTCGTTTTAATTCGACGAATACATATTATATAAATACAATGTTCTTAAATAATACATTATTAGTATTTTACAATAATTTACGATAAATACATGTTAAATATAAATATCTTAATGTAAATTAAGTATAAATGTCAATAAATTATTTTCGCATAAAATTATATTTATCAAATAAAACGTTACAATGTACTCCTGGAGTATGGATCGAAAGGGGCCAATGCCACTTTTTGGTGAAAATGTGTTATATGGCCAATCAAGTGAAATTTGTTGCTATTTCTAGTGCTAAATGGGGGCATTTAAACAAGTATTATTGTGAGATTTTAGAAGACCAATGTTGTTAGAAAAATCTCTATTGCAATATCAAAAAGGCCGAAATATGGTTTATTCTTGATTTCCCAAAATGTATTTAAAGTTAAATTGGTCTTTAATGGCCCAAACCGCGGACTTAAAATCGATAAATCGTGTACGACTCTGTCGAAGCACACGGTAAACGATAGTATAAGCTCGCTCGGAATCGAATGGCATTTTATAGACGGACTGATAAGCCACTACGACCGTATTGTCTGTATAATATTCAAAATGTCCGAAATATATTATGATTTTCGAACAACAAAATATGTACGACTTTTTTTTTGGTTTGTATTGAAATCGAGCGTAAAATTTACACGACGCGTAACAGTGTAATATTATTAAGGGGTGTGTATTATACCTGCAACTACCTACTCTTTTTAATGGATGTTTCGGCGACCGAGTTATGTCGGATTGGGCGAGACCAAAAAAAAAAAAAAAAAAAAAACGAATTCGCTCCCCCTCCACATCACCAACACGTTCGCATATTAATATAATATTCATACCGTGTTTTTTTTTTTTCTTTTCGTTTTTTCGTGTTTTTTTCCTCGAGTATTACATAAAAATCTCGTTTGTCTGCGAAAACGGTCGCGTATATATTATACTTAAACGCGAAATATGACCTCTTGCGCTTATCGCGCGCCAAGTCCCGGGCGCAATATTTATTTACCCAGACTCGGGCGAACGCAATAATATCCGTATACTCCGCTGCGTGGCGTTATAATAGAGTAATGCGTATAATATAGAGGGTAGGTACTCGCTTATATACACTGTTACACGAAGTAATAGAACGATAATACTATATTGAATTAAAATGACGACGATCGGTGTTGCACTGTTGCCACGTCCGAGACAAAAGTACGAATATTTTGCCCCTCCCGCGTCCGCGGCTCTTTACGAATATGTGTACGAAAAAACGCACGCCCAAAAATCACTGCGGGCGTGATATTGTCACCGGGCCCGTCCTTGGGATTTTCGAGGACCCGAGTCGAAAAGATACACGTTTTATCATACCATACGATTCGTATATTTTTTTTTTTTTTTTGGAATCCGTGGCCCCGAATCTAAGTGTAAAACCCGCGAGACTACCGATATTACAATGCAAGCAGGATCCCGTCGGTAACGAACGAATCGTGTATGTACGTCATGCGATGGACAGGGATCGACTAAAACATACTAACAAACACGAGATGTCTATTATAATGCGCATCCCGTGTGTGTAGCAGACTCGAACGGCACGGGAGTTTTAAACCCTATAATTTATAGCAAAGTAAAGTAAGTTTATTATTATACGTATCAAACGATTCGAAGGAACTTTTTCGCAAACCTCCAAAGTGGATACCGAATAAAATTTCAAATCGTGTTAAATTTTGTTTTCACCATTTTCGAATATTCACTTTAAGAACATACTTATATTATGTTGTTATTGTCGATTATTTCATCATATTGACTATTAATATACTTGGAATATTTTATACATTTAATACACCGCGTAACCATTGATCTTATTTAGGTATGCATATTGTATTCTGGAATTTCGGGTTTTCGTCGTAATATTTAGTATGATCATTTGCAAGTAAACGAAATTGATCGAAATTCCAAAATGCAATTGTAAGATCGATGATCCAAGTAATATTTTGTGCAATAATAATGTTAAATGATCAACAAAACTAAAATTTACCAATAATAGCCGTGGATAATGGATAGCCGCATATAACGAATAAAAAAAAAAAATCACGCGACGACAAAAGTTGGTGTTTTGCGGCATCTGTATTTTCGTCGTTGTCGTGCATGTTCACTTCTTCCAAGCGTGAACGGGCACCAACGGCACCGGGTGGTTTTCGTGCAGAAACTCGTGGTAACACTGCAGCCACTGCACCACGTCGTAAGAAGTGTGACATTCGAACGGCCACTTGTCGCAACCACGGCGGACGTGCGGCCGGCGGTGAACGAAGAAAGTGGGCGGGAAAAGCGGGAAAGGCAAGTGTGGCTCGCCGTGGTGATAGTAGTGGTGCCACCACACGTGATGGTAACCGGGTTCGTCGATATCGTAGTCGTCAATGTCGATGTCGTCGTCGTCGATGTCCACGTCCCCGTCGGGGCCGTCGAGGTCTAATTCCGGATCCAGGTCTGGGTCCAAATCCGGGTTCACGTTGTCGTACTCGGGCACCCCGTCGCCGGTGATCACGACCAACCGGCTGTTGCCGTCGAAGCTCTCGTCGTTCGTGACATCGCCCGGTACCCAGTCGCAGACGCCCAAACTGCGCACCAAACAAAGGCCGGAAACGATCACCATCGCATACCTGTCCATCTAAAAACCGTGAGAAACGTTCGATTAATCCTGTAGGCCAAGGATATCCCGTACTATATAGAATTTATAGTACGGGATGTATAGTAATTTATATATATAGTTTTTTTAATTTTACTATGGGTTTGAAAAAAAAAAATTATAAATCTAAAACTAAACATTCTCGGCACGCGTATTGTAAAATACACTGCTCGATATGAAAAAAATTCCACGAAAAATCTGTTCGCGTAGTCGAAAAAAACATAATCGTAACAAATTTTACTACGCGCGATATTATTGTCCGGGTTATATGTTCCGTTCGTTTATGTGCATTATAGAATTTTAAAGATCGAAGTTTACACTGAAATCGCTGCTGCGAAACGAATACGCGAAATCTATAAGATATCCAATAATTAATACTGTTTGGAAGGAAAAAAATAATACCACCCCGATTAAACTCACCATAATAATTGACGCCGTGATAACGACCGCGGAAAAATTACTAATGATTTTCGAGACGACAAACGATCATCTTATATACTTACGAGTGCCTATATTGTGATCGGTACCGACCGAATATAATCGATTTTCTATTCGAACCGCAAGGTCGACAACATTATTACGCGTAAATTACCCGACGGAGAGGAAAAACGATACAACGATACTTGCGTCTTAACGGAGTTGTTTTGCTAATTACTGTTGTTTCAATTGCGATTGCCCACACAGCATCCTCGCGGTCACGGATCATTGATAACAATTATATTTCTATAAAACACCACTATGAATTCGGTCCGAAAACTGATTAAAATAAAATGTATAGTTCCGATTATCCGTAGCGTTTCCGGTCTTGCTCGATTTTTATAAGCTATACTTAACGCTGTAATACGCTCGTTAATTATATTTGCCTAGCTTGCCTAATCTTACCTGCGGTGACATTGAAATATTGAAGTCGACGGGACAATTTTTATTGATCCGAATTACTTATACACTTTTCAGCGATTGAATTTAATAGAATTTAATCATAGATCAGGGCGGGCCCGAAAGATGGACGGGACCTATATTTGGATATTTGTAGACGACAAAAAAAAAAAAATGAATAATAATGTAATAAAATAAAATAAAAATATTTAAAATGTTTAACATTTCTCCCTAAGACTCGCATCGTCCTAAGTATAGCCCAGATCACAGAAAACTTACTACGTTCGGTAGAACGGATATTACTCTGTTCTTTTTAATAAATATGCAAGAGCGAATTGACCTATATCATTTTATTTAACGTCAAGAACCATATCGTCATATTAACGAATTTGCGCTTGAATGCCGGTTTGATTTTACTTGGATATTTTAATTTTCAAGCGAGATACGTATAATGTAATTAATGTTACAATTTAAAAATTTTTCACATTCCGGTTAAGTATCAAAATATCGAGAAGAACAATGTTTTACCTTTTTTAAGAACAGATTAGCAACGGAGCTGGGAGAGCGAACATGTCTACGCCTCCTCGTTCAAAACATAATGAGACAAACACATTGATACGCTCCCCTCAACAATAAAATATAATGGATAAAACTTTATGAATCACAAAAACAAATAGTTAAGTTCGATATTCATTAATATCATTTATTAATCTCTCATGAATAAAAATATTCAATGTTGAAATTTCAAAAAGTACTATTTCATTAAATTTTAAAACATAACTGATAGTATTGCTCCGAAAAACTCATCGAAATTGATTGCAATTCTGTGACAACACTATTCACTGCCCAAATTATGTGTAATTTGATATATAATGATCTATGGCCATACTGTATACCTACAGAAATTAAATTGCATTATGTTATTACTTTTAAGTGATATTTGTAACCAAATACATGGTTGTACATAAAAGTCAAACTCGAAATGAACGGCAATGCAATTTCGGTTAAAAAGAAAAAAAAATGCATCTGTTTATCACAGTTCATTGCTGTCTATCATAACTCGTAATAGAAATATTCTTCTTCTTCTTTATCGTTGTTCGATTTCGAACGTCGTGGCTTTCATGAAAGTATGTAATTCCGATTGGATACATTTCTCCGAAATTCCCTATTCTCTGTGTTCCCGATGCCTTCTGATATTGACATGTGTTGATGTGCAATATAAATATATAGGTATAAAAAAATGTATGCGTAATGGTTCAATAAATTTCCAATTTCAAGCACTGAAGAAGAGTAAATGAAAAAAAGCTGCCCTAGGATAATGGAAACAGGTACAGCCACTGTTATAGGTATTTTAATGTATACCTGTAAGCAACTATAGACCATTGCTAACGAAAAAACGATTCTGAACGGAGTTTAGTGGATAGTGATTCTTGGTCAATAATATGTATATATCACATTATAGTAAAGTAATGAAATAGTCATTATTTATTTTCATTAATAATATTTGTACATATCGGTACATCAAATGTACCGATTTTCCCGGTTTCACATTTGCTGTTAACAATTTTAGGAAAATCGAATAATGACGTCATTAAAGTACCTTCAAAATCAAATTTACTTTCAGGAAAAGTGCTACACTTAAAAATTGGAGCAAGATATCTGGTAAAAAATTACGAATAAAAAAAGACATCTTTGTAAAACGATAAGCTTCTTCGCTCCACTCAGAATCTAAAATAAAACAAAGAGAGAAGGTTAGTCTTTCTCTTACATGCATATTCGAGGGGAGAGGGGGGGAGTGAAATGACGGATCTTAGGAAATATATTTGGTATAACTATCCGTAGTAACGCCATCTATATTTTGGCCCATATGAAAATTAGTTCTTGTGCCTATAAGTTGGCGTATTCATATAATATGTGCTAGCCGTTTCCGCAGGGACAACTTTTGAGGGTTATTTTTAACATTGAAATATTATATTATCTAACTTACAGTGGTACTGCATCTATATTTTACGATATTTTAATTTTAAAATCAAATATGAGTATGAGAAGTACCACAATTTTTAAAATTTAATACAAACATTAATGAAATTACAATAATATATATGCTATCTTCTAAACTGTCTATCTCTTACAACAGTGCCACACCTAGCAGCAGTTTTGGATTTTTTTTTTTTATGGATACTTTTAAAATTTGTTATTTGTTTTTTTTTATTTTTTGAAATCATTGTCATAACACACACATAATTTTGCAGGGAAATTCATCGTCAACAAAAAAAATTCAAGATTTATATATTATTATATTATATACTAAATCGTTCATTTGCGGTTTATGAATACGATGTTAACGCGTATATGCACGTCATTAATTATTTCGATTTATTGTTTTAGAAAAACGCTGAAAAATCCGAAGTATAATAATATAGTAGCAGACGCATCAAAAGAAGTGAAACGATCTACTGCAGCAGCATAAATACTCGTATAATATTCGTAGATTTTAGCGGCAAAGTTTATAAACGTTCTTTAGAGAGCGGACGATGGATTTTCTAACTCCGCCTCTAATGCACGTATCTTCTATAAAATTAATGAGCTTGGTATGATTTAGATGGACTTGACCGTTTTACCCTTTCATTAACACTATCAATTTCAATGGACATGACATTTTAGTCATTTCTGTGTTTCAATATCTTAATTAAATAATTGATTAAATGATAAAATTATATTTTAATTATATTAAGTAATGGAATGGTTAAATTATGCAATATGCTTTCCCCCCGCCCCCCCGAAAAAACCGGTCGCTTAAATACGTTGTCCTTTACTCTTATTATTAAAATTTAAAATTTATACAATTATAATTAGAGCGGATATGCGTATTGATATGCTTTTACATATTTGTATTGGTCGATCAAAAACATAGTCAGGTTATACCGAGATGCGTTTCATAACACAACGATTCTATATTATACATAATACATACCAAAAATTGTACTTGTATATTTTGGAATTGTTGCGTTTGTTCGGCATGTTTTATGATTTCGTAGATTTTTAAGATAATTTCAACTCAACGAACGGACAGCTGTAGAATAATTGTTCGAGATTTATAAAATGTTAGTAGGTGAGTTGATAACGTAAGTATAATCACTCGTATTTAAGGTGATATCATATATTGATAATATCAATACATGTATTAATATTATAATGGAATACAATTTTAGAATTTCCACATTTTTATTTTTATTTCAGAGTATATTTTGGTATGTTTGGAGCACAACTGATACAAAATAATGAACGGTTTTTAGGACATAAGAATAACTGTTTCTACTTAAAATAATTTTAACTGCGAGTTCATAAGGTAGGTAGGTATTTTTTTATTTTCGAATGCTCAAGAAAGCGTACCAACACCAACCCGCACCCACTTGAAAAAGTTTACTGCAATCT